ACATGACGAAGAACTGCTTCTCTCTGAGGGTGACGGAGCACTGGAACAGGCTGCCCAGTGAGGTTGTGGAGTCTCCTTTTCTGGAGCTATTCAAGACCTGCCTGGACAAGGTTCTCTACAACCTACTGTAGGTGACCCTGCTTCGGCAGGGGGGATGGACCAGATGACCCACAGAGGTCCCTTCCAACCCCTGCCTTTCTGTGATTCTGTGATTCTGTGATTACTTGGAGGATTCGCACCTTGACTTGAGAAGCTGCTCTCCCAGGGTTCGGGCAGAATGGCTCCTTCCCAAAGGACTAAATCTCCCACCCACACTCCTCCATGCGAGCAGGACCCATCTTACACCCCTGCCCGCTGAGGACCAGCAGCCGGGCCCCCACCCCTGCAAATCGGCTTGGGGCCGGCACCACCGCTCAGGATGGCAGGATCCTGCCCAAGCCGAAGCCTGCCAGGGCCACTGCTGCCCCGTCAGCAGGGTGGGGACAAGCCCTCCCGCCACATCCTTCATGTTCTCAGGGGTGACATTGCACCTCACTGCACAGCACCAGGAGTGAAGGTGCCTCCATGAATATCCAGTATGGATGGATTAATTACACCTACTTGTTCTTGCACTGACAGTGTCTTGTCTTCTCGACACCGTGCCCTCAGCCGCCATGTTGCTCGCTGAAATATTTTCAGCAGGGCTTGTTGCCATAGGACAAGGAGTAATGGCTTTAAGCTAAGGGAGGGTATATTAGATGTAAGGAAGAAACTTTTTACCATGAGGGTGGTGAAACACTGGAGCGGGTTGCCCAGAGAGGTGGTGGAGGCCCCATCCGTGGAAACATTCAAGGCCAGGTTGGATGGGACTCTGAGCAACCTGGTCTAGTTGAAGATGTCCCTGCTCACTGCAGGGTTGTTGCACTAGATGACCTCTAAAGATCCCTTCCAACCCAAACTATTCTATGGTTCTATGTTCTATGATTCTGTGATTCAACGATTCTATGATTCTATCTGGATTTTTGTAAAGCCTTTGACACAGTCCCCCACAACATCCTTCTCTCTAAATTGGAGAGCCATGGATCTGATGGGTGGACTGTTCGGTGGATAAGGAATTGGTTGGATGGTCGCAGCCACAGGGTAGTGGTCAATGGCTCAATGTCCAGATGGAGTCCAGTGACTGGGCCTGTGTGAACCTCATGAGGTTCAACAAGGCCAAGTGCAAGGTCCTACACCTGGGTCGGGGTAATGCCCGCTATCAATAGAGGCTGGGGGGTGAAAGGATCGAGAGCAGCCCTGCTGAGAGGGACTTGAGGGTACTGATAGACGAAAGGCTGGACATGAGCCGGCAATGTGCGCTGGCAGCCCAGAGGGCCAGCCGTGTCCTGGGCTGTATCAGGAGAAGCGTGGCCAGCAGGTCGAGAGAGGTGATTCTGCCCCTCTACTCTGCTCTGGTGAGACCTCACCTGGAGTACTGCGTTCAGCTCTGGAGCCCTCAGCACAAGAAGGACATGGAACTGTTGGAGCGGGTCCAAAGGAGGGCTACAAAAATGATCCGAGGGCTGGAGCACCTCTCCTATGAGGACAGGCTGAGAGAGTTGGGCTTGTTCAGCCTGGAGAAGAGAAGGCTGTGGGGAGACCTGATTGCAGCCTTTCAGTACTTAAAGGGAGCCTATAGGAAAGATGGGGACAATCTGTTTAGTAGAGACAGCAGTGACAGGACGAGGGGTAATGGTTTTAAACTAAAACAGGGTAGGTTTAGGCTGGATATAAGGAAGAAATTCTTTACAATGAGGGTGGTGAAACACTGGAACGGGTTGCCCAGAGAGGTAGTGGAGGCCCCATCCCTGGAAACATTCAAGACCAGGTTGGACAGGGCTCTGAGCAACCTGATCTAGTTAGCGGTGTCCCTGCTCGCTGCGGGGGGGTTGAACTAGATGACCTCTAGGGGTCCCTTCTGTCCCAAAACTTTCTATGATTCTATGATTCTATGATTCTATGAAATGGCGCAGCCTCCCCCCGTCCTTCCGTTCCCACCCCAGGGAAGGAGCTGTCAGGTGCTCAGCCGGGTACTGGGACGGGGGGGCAGCTGCTCCCCCATCCCAGTCGCAGGGAAGCAGCTCAAATGAGCCGAACCCCAGCGAGCAGCAGCTCTCCCCAGGCAAGCGCTCCCTCCCTGGCACATTTTGCCATTGGAGATGAGCACAGGGGCCTTAAAATAAATCTGTCTTTTTAAAGTAGCGATGCTAAATGGAGGTTTGAGATCAAAGGCTGGGATTCTCACATTTTGCCAAGATAGACATATCCATTCACGAGATTTTTGGTGTAACAAAATACGCGCTAATGAAGAGGATCATAATCTTATTATTAGCCCCAACCTACAGCAGCATGTCATTCGAGAGCAGGATAGAATATGCCCCAGTTTAGGAAGTTGCACAGTAGGCTTTGCTTTTGATTTAATGAGCTGTGATTGCATTTATTTTCGGTGACAAATATGCCCGTTAAATTTTTGTTCAAGGTCTGACCGCTAACGACAGTGATTGACTGGAAGGAAGAATTCAGGTTGAAGGGAAGGGAAATGGGGATCGCGCCTCCGGGATTCGGTCCCCAAGCACACGGCAGCAAGGTGGTCAGCGGGGCCTGCGTTTCCTCGGCTTTTGCGTTGCTTGGTGAAGTTATTGAAGCTACTGATGGCGTCAGTGAGGGGATTTAGAGGCGCGAGGAACAGCAAAGATTTCCTGCGGTTCTGCAGTGGGGTGCAGAGGAGAGGCAAGCGTTGGAAACCAGCTGCCGGGGCCAAACACGCCTCTTCGGGGCACGCAGAGCTGGGTGAGCCGCGGTGGGACAGGGTCGTCACCAGGCCTCTCCAGATCCCAGGGGACTGAATGCAGAGGGACACGTCAGTGGCGTGCAGCGCCTGAGCAATATGACCTAAACCTCTGCCAGGTGAGCAAAATGGAGAGGGGAGGGCAAGAGAGACGTAAAGGCAGATGCCTACTCCAAAAGAACATTCGCTGTCGTGGAGCTGGTCAGTGCAGGCACTGCTCTGAGCGAGACGGGGCCCCACGTGCCAGAGCCTCCCCAGTGTAACAGCCTCCCCTCCAGTGCTGTCACCGGTCTGGGAAGCCTGAGCTGAGCCGCTGAGCAAGCGGAGCGGGGCAGGGCACAACCCAGACTGTCCCCTTCACGCCTTTCTGGGAGTTCGTACGGCTTTTTCCCTCCGCTTCCAGCCTTACGAAGGATTCTCTGCTCCGGGTTTGGCGATGCAAGCCCCGAAGGGGTCCAGCACTGCTGCTCTTCCAGCAGCAAATCGGGCACACGTGGACACGGGCACGTGCGTGTACGTGCAGGCGTGAAGGAAGCACAGACACGGACAGACACGCGGCTGCAGCCCCCAGTTTTAGCTTTCCACGCACACCATCAGAACGAGCAAACGCGTCCCTTCCAACCCCAAATCCCCTGTCATGCTGCTACGCTTTAGATGCTCAAAAAACCTGCACCGAGCGGAGTGAGGGG